AGTGAAGGACAGGAAGGCCTGGCGCAATATGGTTCATGGGGTCACAAAGAGTCAGACACAATGACTGAATGACAACAAGTTCCAATGTAAAGCAGAAGGGTTTATAGTGCCTTGGAAAAATGATGATATCCAAAACAGGAGAACTTAGTTGTATTTTTTCCTTCCTTCTTGCAAATTCTTCAAATTTTAATAACTCTTCTTTAAATAAACCTAGTGCTCCACACAATCTTACTAGATAATCTAATTGACAATATCATAATTCCATTGAATCTAATATCATCTGTCAGGATATATCTAGAAAATTGTATTTTGTGACTTTTTCAAAAGAAAGCAACATTATCCATTCTAGGAACCAAGACAATAGGAGAAAGCATATGTAAATTATGAGTGATAATTCTCCTTTCCTTTCATCTGAAACTATCTGAAAAAGTTGTATCTTCAGCCTCAATATTTTAAATAAATGTGCTCCAGATTTCACATACTTTTGTCAAAGCCATGATATTTCTCATACGTCCACCACAACACAACATGCATACTAATACATTTTGAAGACATGGCTCCGGACAATGGAATAACATGTCTTTTGATGACTTACTGCATATGAAAATATAATCTTGTACTTCTGTATTCTTACACAATTCCTTTCTTTCTTTCTTTGTTCTGACAATATAAAAGTTCCTCCAGGCATTGTAGGAGAAAATAAACTGGAAGATGTAAAAGTGAAAGAAGGACATAGCATTATGCTGACATGTGAAGTGACAGGTAAGCCAATGATTCTGGTGATTCTTGGTTAGAGTTGCTTTGGTTGCAACACAGAGGCAGATTGATGGCCATGATATTAAGCAGTTAAACCTGCATCTCTCAATATTTCTTTCTTTTCTTTTCTCTTTAAACACTGCTTCCTGGATGGTGCAACTAGTTTATGCCACAAAGAAGTGCACAAAGTGCTAAAGCAATTGTTCTTTTCTTTTTTCAAAGAGAGAACATATGTTCTACCTGCACATAATGTTCTTCAAGGCAAGGTGATAGCCCAGTTGCTTTATGGACCAAAATTCTGTACATATAAGAGTTTTTGTCCCTTCAAGGCATTTTAGTCCATATTTTCCAGGGCTATTTTTGGAAGGACACAAGATGTTCCTAATGCTGCATTTTGAGCAGAATTGCTTTTATATACCTAGGCTTTTTTAGAGCCAAAGAAAATATCAAAGAGAAATTGGGGTGGTTGATTTTGTGCTGTTTAGCAGCTGGAAAACATAACAAAAATGTTACTTTGGCAAAATATATCTTTAGGCTCATAGACTCCAAGTACTGGAGATTCTTTACTATGACCATTTTGATGCTTTGCATTCTGCTCTAATAAAGGAAAAAGTTGCATGAACACTTTTTCATGAATTCCTCTGTTCATGTCAAATGGGAATGGTTGAAATGTTGGATTGTGTGTAGTTGCACTACCTGTTTCTC